ATAGCGTTCATGAGAGTGCGCGGTTTTGTGCCTTTCAGTTTTGGATCCCAAGTGTGCTGCAAATTTGGTAGCTGTTGGTTCAGTCTAAGACCAGGTGTCCAAACATTTAGCCGGGAGGTTGCGAGTTCAAAACCTTCCGAAGTTTCGTGAAATGCACACCGCTGATGATTTCTACTGAGGATGAGTAATCCATGCTGTTCTCCTCCGCTTTTCAGCGTAATTGGGCTTAACTTACTGGATGGAATCTCCCAAAAATTCCGAAATCTCCCTAGATTACCACTAACACCGAAGTAGCTCAGAGGAAGAATAGCTTCACAAGATTGTTGAAAATTGTGTGACAGTTTGTCACCCTTGGAGCCAATGACCACGTGGCTTAAGTGATGTGGACTCGGTTATTGAAGGGAGAACGGCGCTACATCCTGTCTCAGCGCAATTCATTCACACTGCTGATCAGCCGCTCTTCGCTGGATGGTTAAAAGTCCAAACTACGAGCCCGGATATCGCGGTTTCGAAACTCCCTGGAGTTTTGTGAGATGCGCACAATAGGCATGAATTAGCTATACCGTGTTTCTAGGTAATTCGCACAGATTGGATTTAATGATACGACGAAATCTTCATTGAGAGAGAGATATGAAGAAAGGAGTTGCAACGGCTCTGCTCAGGTGACATTTCGAGATGATTACTTCGGAAATGTGAGATGCCTGAAAGACGGAGTCTTGATCCAACGACTTTCTCGCGTGATGGGACCGTCTACCCACTGCGATTATGGCTTTTTGTTCGTGTCGTTGACGTTTGTTGTGCCAGGGGAACAATTACAGAAGCTCGGACATTGTAGCTAAGAAGAGATTATCCTACTGAGATGCGACATTTCGTGTATCTCCATGTTGCTTTGAGCTATACAGAGAGGTTACACGCCGACCCATATTTTGTGCTATCTAATTGATTATTGGACAGAGGGCGCAAAAACTGTCTCTACGTCAGAGAATGGAACATAAATTTCAACGTTCTCTGAAAACAAGCTAGCCTGGTGGCATATAGCCACCATCCACTGTCTTGTGTTCATGCATTTGTGCCTGTTTTTGTTGAGGGCCCTAATTGTCCCTTGCCTTGATTTGCGCCCTTATGTAGTGTCGCATTTCGAATACAACCATGAACTTCTCATCTAAAATCCATTTCATTCAGTGCCAGTCGGGTCGCCTTGTTGCATGAAGCAAGTGAGTGGTAGCCGGTTGACACCTGTTAAACTTATTCTTTCTACGCCCCCATGAACTGATTTCCACTTGGCTGATCACTTGGACCAGAGGTTCGTTTGGCTTGCATCGCACCTAGAGCAAACCCTACGCGTCTGTCTGCAGAACCAGCATCCGATACCTAGATGTTCACATACAAACTCCGACATCCGGTTCACTCATCTCCCTTTAATGTTCGCACTGTGAAGCAGAGCTTTCACAGCTGAGTATGCTGACGAACTATAAGATAATCGTTCAGCTGTAGCACCCGTTCGGTGCCTAACTGCCATGCCACCCGAAGAAAGCACGAGGGCTGGGATACGCGGACAGGGGAAGTGGAGAGGCGGAGGTCGGGTTCATACCACGGACCCTCCTGTCAGTAAATTCACGCTCTAGCCACTGAGCCATCTTGCCTCTGAGTATGCTGGGATTGGTATTATGTTGTTTTCGAGTAGAAGTGTCTGTACTTGACGGAATACTCCGTGGTAGATGCCTCTGTGGTATAGTTGAGCGAAGTTTTTGAGGGAAGCTATATTGCAATGCCCATCTGTTTATGTTCTCTGCTTAAACTCCAGCAGTCGTAGTTCCGACTTCATCAAAAATTATCTTAATCTTGCTTCTTCATAAACATGCGACGGAGTGCGCTGTGGGTTTTGAGACTGGGTACAATGTCTCCGAAACGCACTAGCTTATTATGGTTATGTGCTAACCACATGACCGGTATTCTTTCGTCAAATTCTGTATGTGGGAGGTGGCATTTTCGTTGATTATAGAGGACCGAGATCAATTTCTGCACCCCAAATCGAACAGAAATAATGCTCACTGTAAGTGCCGGTTGACTATATTTCTGGGGTTTATTGTGATTAGAACGAGATCTCGAAAGCCATTTGCAATGCGGGAATTCCTCTCGGTGCTATCTAGCCAGCTTCATCTAAGAGTAGTGTCTTCGATAATATGGGCTGTCCTGATCAGAAACCTGGCCGCTGCGTGCCTAGGACGTCATGACTTTCAGTGTTCGACCATTGATGTCTTCGGAGCATTGCTCGAGTCTGGTGGGAACACCGGATCAGCAATGCTGAAGTTTGTCGAATGGTATTCGGGAGAACAAACGCACCCTCGATAGATGACCTGATCACACTGCACAGGTTGTGCTGGCTTGGCCACGTGTTGCGTATGCCAGTCGACCGACTTCTTCGAGGGGCTCTTTTCGCACAACCACGTGAAGGGTGGAAGAGAACCAGAGGCGGTCAAACAATGACTTGTCAGCGAAGTGTGAAAGCCATTGCCAGCTGGTCATTGACGTCTTCCTGGATGGGGATCCCGAGACGGCCCATATCAATGATTAGGGACATTGTCAGACATGGCCAAGGTGCGCCCTCAATGGCGCTCATGCATCCAAGCTATTGCCTTCAATACATAGCTCCCTTCCCAACCCCCCACTTAATAGTCCACCTACAGTGCTGCATCTACGCATTATTTTATCAACTCCCGCCTCCAGTGCGCAGCTATCTATCCCACCTCATCGGTGAACGAAACGGGGGCAGCTACAACCACTGTACAAGACGTACGCGGTTATTACATGTGACAATGATAATGAGATTGTACGCCAGATGGCTTAAATACAAACCCAGACGCCTATGGTTGCAGAAGACTCTCAGGCTGCACTAGTTAGGCTGGAAATAACCCGTCATTATTTTGGAAAGCAGCCAATGTGTTAGCCCTAGCACCGCACCGAGTATACCACTGATGAACCTGAGCACTTCTGTGTCTGCCGACTGACTCGATAACTGTGGTGCCTGTGTATAGGATCTGAGAACCCTTTGCTTGAACGGGACGGGCGGAAGAATTGACGACAAAATTCTTTGAGGACAATAAAATTCGAATTCCTAATTTAACCAGAGCATTTGAAGAAACCTGACCCGTATCGTGAAAAATCTGTTGGGTCAGGCATTCACTTGCCTTGGTTGGCTGGTCTGCTGGCAAAACACGGTCAAACAGTTGCTACGTTTATGCTAAGGAAGGGGTCGGTCCAAGCACTATTTGTGTAGCTTCTTTGCCACACCTAGAAGGTTTGAAAAGAAACATCGAGCTGACCAAGGTGCCAAGAAACGAACACAGAGTGTCTCAGAACTGCTCTAGTGGTTCGGAGAAGTCAGGTCACTCCAAGAACGTATTTTCCAGACATTGTTTGCAACATCATGACATAAAACCACTATTTACGATGAATATGTAGATATGGAATTTTGTTATACCATCGTCCACTTCGAGAAGTGACATCTTGAAGCCCGATATTCTCGCGAAGAGATTTAAGCTTATCGTGATGCGACCCTCCAGTAACTCACAGCTATTATGCAGCATCTACGTGGTGCCTTCCATTAGTGTAGTCACTGGATATACATATAGTAAAGCATCTCTTGGGGGCTGGAGAAAACGTGGCAACTTGATCCGGATAGTCATACATCAATGACAGCCTCACGGACACATTTCTGAGCCAAGGATCCTGGTCCACGAAGCGTTCTGTCTTGCCGTACGAGGTTGTGGCCCAGCAGCACCCTAGCCCGAATACAATCTTCACATCAATGTGTCCTCATGCGATTGCTCCCTCGATTGTTTTGGAGACAGACCATTTGCTCTACGACGTAATATCAGCATCTATAGTGCTATTCTTGTATCATAGAATTTGTCGGGAAAACCAACCCTTCACAACCAAAAGTGGGACGCGTTTGGCGATGGTGAATATGCTTCACTCTAGTGTAAACTGATTTGAGGGTGAATGCGTCTCGCGTCTAAAACAATTTTTTAAGCTATTCATACTGTTAGTATTGTAGCTCAACGGTAGTTACCTAATACATCGTGCCGTTGACGCCAAACACAAACGACTGTAGACTATGTGTTCCTGCTTTTCGACTTAATCTTATACAGGCCTTCAGGATAAAATTATGAGCAATAAGGTTACATACCCTCATTGTGTTATTGAGGTTCGCTAACCGTCGACCAATGGGACCGCTCTGGCATTGTTGGGCGGCTAACCTGATCCACGCATGCCCTATGAAATTGGGATAAGGTTAAACAGCGGAATCGGTCCCTGCCTATCATTTTGTAGTCGTTCGATGACGGAATATTACTACAGAACATTGGGGTTGAACTGCTTAAAGCCCTAGGACAGTTAGAATCGGTCCCTGCCTATCATTTTGTAGTCGTTCGATGACGGAATATTACTACAGAACATTGGGGTTGAACTGCTTAAAGCCCTGAGGACAGTTAATTTTTTTTGTCGATGCATTGTTCACTTTTTACTCTGGAATCCCAGCACGAACGAGAACTGCAGGTTTCGACCATCCAGATCGACCAGACTTAACGGTTCCATTTAACTAACTAATCATTGGCGTTTACAAGGCAGTAAACCCCTAGCTAAAATGTCGCGCGCACGAAATGTTACGCCGTCTATCCCGGGCTGCAGAGTGCGCAATATGGACGGACGAACAAACGCTACTGCGACAAAATTGTCGCTGCATCGCGCCGGGCAGTGTAATACACTGAATTGGGACTTGTCTCTCCGTACATGCATTTGATTCGGAGCAAGGTAGAACAAATTAAAAGCTTGACGGAAACACAACAAGCCTGCTACACACCATGTGTTTTATGCGCACAACCGAACGGTGCTCCATTCAAACTCCATCGCCAATGGTAACGGCAGGATCACCACAGCCAGCTAATCAATAATGCTGTCAACCCTCTCGTTCGATTACTCGACCACTTCTACCAAATTTATGCTCATCTTTATAAGGCGACCGATCGGACTGAGGTTGACAGTGTGCGAAAGCAGAAAAAAATTATACAGGATCAGTTTCAACAGCTGTGGGTGAAAATCCCACCAGTTCAGGGACATAGTAGCCAAGGTGATTAATTCTGAAACCAATAGTCGGACTTGTAGATACGTTGGCGCAGTACATGAGGCATTGTAATAGTCTCACAGATGCTATCCTGTTGAATTGTCTTCACATTAGTGACTCCGGAGATATGGGAGAACGTCAAATATGGGAAGAAAGTGACTTGTATCGGCAACATGTTTTCCAAAGGTAATATGAAGAAGATAAAGAGATTCATGATAAGTGAGGAATCTAGCTATTTCTTGAACCAGGTAGAAGAATTGTTTTGTTGGTTGGCTACGCGCTCCAAGATCTGGTGTGTATGATTGTTTTTACCGATTAGGAGCCTCCATTGAATCCCCATTAGTCAGTAAGTATGCTTTGAAAGGTGGGTTACCAGAGAGGAGCACCCGAGAAACTAGGTTTGGGTTCTTGGCTTGTGCACGGGTGACCTGGATAGCAATGACAGCGGTTTGTCTTCCACAGTCCCGCAAAAATAAGCAACTCGGATGGCGCAGAAGTGGATAAACGATGTGTTCAGGCTGCCATGGTTGATGGAAGGTTTGATGTTGGTATCGTTTGGACCAGCTGGAGGACTTCCGACAGATTAGCATCGAACTTCTGTTCCAATTCAACCAACTGCCTGCAAGAATGGATTTGCATATGTACATAAGAACCCTCACTACAACAAAATTTCGAGTCAACATTGAATAGAAAATACTTGTAATTGGGATGTATGGCTTCTGATAATCTGTTTTGGTTGATTCGAAAACAAGTATCCTGCAGTGTCGTTTCGTACATTTAGTGTTAAGATAGGGTGAAACGGCTCCGCTTCAGTAACTGAAGAGTACAGTTCTCCATATGCATGTTATGGTCTAAATTTTCTGGTGAACAGCGCTTGCTTTATCGCAATCATTCAAACCAAACTAAGAGCTTCGGGTATCTACTTGGCCAGCTACTGGGGTCAAACTCCTCGCGTATTTTGTCTAGGTTTGGAGCCGATTCATCAGGAAGACACCCCGCAATACGAATGAAGGCCTTCCTACATCAGACTATCTTCGAAGAAGTCTGTTGAGTGACCGTAGAAACTCATTTTACGCCTCCCTTTGGAAACCAAAGTGTGCAAGTACTTAAGGTTACTTAGTGGCACGCACGCAACCTGAGGTGAGTCACATCCTGAGAAATTCCAAGTTCCAAAGAGTTATTTCCTAACAGATCAAAGGCATTCACTGGAGACTGGGAGGTACCATCAGATTGACCACGGCACCTCATTGGTATAGTTTGCTCGTTCCAAAACGGACTAGGACAGTGGATACCATACTAAGTTGAGTCCTCGAGAAGCCGCGTAAACTTGACTGTTCATCGGAACCGCTGGTATCGAACTGCGTATAACTAACATGTGACAGGTTAGGATCTCCGTATTATTTCAAAACGAGCTGGTGTGTGCAACCCGATCTACCAACATTCTGATGGGTAACAAGATGAGCACATGATCCTTCTCTGTATCTTTGAAACTGAACAATAATGCCATGCAAATTGGGATAGTATAAATCCTAAAATCTACCATATTTCATTGGTATGCCCGAAGAAAGCAAGTCCCATGGTTGTGACACTTGTTTATTGCTTTTTCACTGTTATTCAGACCATGTAACAGGTGTACCAACGGCGGAATTCCTTTCTTGTAAGAACACTGAACATTCCCAATGACCTAGTCGAACTTGACAAGTGGAAAAAAGGCAATTGGTCTTTACATTGAAGTCAAACACCACAGTTTCAGTCATTGATAACGAGCCGATTCGGAAGGCGATAAGTTGTATCGTCCAAGCGTATGGCGAGAACGAATCACTGGATAAGGTTGCGTTTTGCTACTAATGAAAGAGAGTCAAAAAGATTTCAATGCTCAATAACTACTCAGGGAGGATGAACGCTAAATTCGGTGTAAACGAGTTTGCACTACGCATCAATTCTGTTAGATAAGGCGGAAACAAACAATCACCAAATAACAGCAACTTACTGTTCTATGCTCAGTAAACGGGTGGTTAATCCGACCATTAGGGAGCCTAAGTCGATGGATCCAACACCCAGTGGAACGACAGTATCATCTGAAATCGAAGTAAACATGTAAGTTTCCAACAGCTTTGACGTGAAATCGAAATTTACGGGAAAGTTCAGCCGGATTCTCCGGTGTCAATTGAGGTACTGGGTCGACTGTAGTAGGGCCACAAACAGTAAGTTAATTAGTAGTAAATAGTAGTAGTAAGTAGTTAGTACTTCGATAGTCTGAGCACTCGGATTAAACCTATGCAACAAACGGTTTGAAAGTGGAGTCGTAACTGTATGACGTGACATGGCCAAGCGGGACAGAGTACGGTTCCATGATACTCGACAGCTCGCAATGGCTTTCCGTAGCAGAATGATTCAAAGGAGCGTGAACTCAGATTGACACGGATTAAGGACGTACCTTGGGGAAATAATAGCTGAATTTATGTAACCTAATCATTTATTGACGTTTCTTTATCCTATTCATCGGTGACTTTTCTCAGTTACACACTATTTCGCTAGTGTCCAGTTATGCATTTGCATGGCGCCCATCTTACCTGTGAGAAACTTGACGCGACTAGCCTAGAACTGAGCCATTCGGTTGCATTTTCAGCCATACAAAATGAGCTTTCTCTGAGCGGTTCCGCTCAGTATTCTGCGTACCGACAGAAACAATTAGTCCAACAAGAGCTGAGCTCGCGCAGAAAAATATATCCCAGGATTCGCGGTAACTGAAAGGACGCGAGACCAGTTCTTGTACGCTAAACTGGGTTGTCAAGCCTATCAGTCAGTATCAGGATTGCAAAACAGGCACAACAGGCTAAAACTGATCAACCAGAACTAAGTGGAAATCGAGTGCCGTGACAGTAATCGTTCGCGTTTCTCGATCTCTGAAAGAACAGTTCTCGTTGGGGAATAGCAGAGTGGAATCTGTCGGTCGTCTTCGGAGGTGTGGGTTGTTATTAGGGGAGCCCGTTTTATTCAACGGTGGACCCGTTCAAGAATTTAGTCGTACGAAGAGGCATATAGTCAAATCGAAAAGCAGATGCATTCGCTGAAGAGTTACACACAAGTTTTGAACACAGTCGCTCACTGATCTATGGACATAATAGTTCGGTTGTGATTGAAATTTTGTCACTTCTTCCGGTCGGTTATGGTGCTGCAACTTTACAACGTACAATCCCATCAAATTGTTGTCCTTTGGAGGCGACTGGAGCGATAACATCGAAGAAGGATCCAGGCCCTCTATAGTCCATCGCGAAAATAAATTATCAGTCATCAATCAACTGGAAAAAGTTTGGAGCCGATTCAGAAGTCATCGTTTCGGAAGAGCTTGGTAGTTTTTATTTGGGAACGTTTCGCTTTTAACACAAAAGCCTCATCAGGCCAAGTGAACAGGTCACCAAATTGGTCAGGTTATAAGGCAGACGGGGAACCAATCAGTAAGTCCTCTCCGGATTATCACACTTGATCAGTGTTGAGTGTCAATTAGCAGCTGCTGTCGGCTAGTGTGGTTGCCAAAATCCTCAATTGATGGGTTGGAGGAGTTTCAAATTATATCTCTGTAATGTACTACTCATAAGGTTGCTGAAAATCCGTCGACAGTTTCAAATTAGTTCCGATCGCTCATTGTTCCTTAATCTTCCACTTGATGATTCACCTCGGGTGCCACTGGTAGATATTTCTTGATCTTCGTGGGCATGTGAATGTTGCGACAATTCAGTTAGGGGAAGGGGAGTTGCGTAAGGTTCAGTGGAACCCAGGTGATGACTACTCTTCCCTCTGATAATCGCACACCAACGCGTGTTAGCTCGATTGACCCAAGACCACACGCACTGAACATGGGACACAAAATAGACTTGAAAAAATGTTGAGGTTTTGAAGCGAGGACTACGGTCCACGTCACACAGACTGATAGCCGAGGCGGTAGAAATTGCCAAGAATCCCAGTGTTAACAGAATAGAAGGCGTGGAACTGGCAAGCGTGTGGAGAACGGTATTTGGTCAATCGAGCTACCGCGTGTTGGTGTGCGATTATCAGAGGGGAGAGTAGCCATCATCTGGGTTCCACTGAACCTTACGCAACTCCCCTTCCCCTAACTGAATTGTCGCAACATTTACATGCTCACGAAGATCAAGAAATATCTACTAGTGCCACTCGAGGTGAATCATCAAGTGGAAAATTAAGGAACACTAAGCGATCGGAACTAATTTGAAACTCCTCCAACCCATCAGTTGAGGATTTTGGCAACCACACTAGCCGACAAGAGCCGTTAATTGCCACTCAACACGGTTCTAGTGTGATAATCTAAAGAGGACTTACTGATTAGTTCCCCGTCTGTCTGATAACCTGGCCAATTTGGTGACCTGTTCACTTGGCCTGATGAGGCTTTTGTGTCAAAAGCGAAACGCTGTCCAAATAAAAACTACCGATTGTTTACTAAGCTCTTCTGAAACTTATTAGTCTATTTGCACCTGCGGAGCCACTTCATATAGTAAACGACCAGGCGTCTCGGAATCGATGAATACATTTCAAAGTGGCTACAAAGGTTCAATTAGGATGACCAAGAAGTGTAATCGCGTAACACCTGTTGGATTCTGTCCATTTCTTAGATCTCCTTGCAGCTTTTAGCTTTTATTCCGAAGCACAAACATATGCTTACAGCCTAATCTCACGTCATGTGTGTAGCAACAACAAATAACTGACCTCGCATTCATCCAGTCACCTCTTGGTCTTGCTTTCACCCCTAATTTGTACGCAGACTTAGCAAATTAGCATTGTCAGTTTATGATGGCCGTTGATAGTGTAAGGAGATTTGAGATTTCCGATGGAGGTGTCGTCAAGAAACTGGAAAACCAAAGGGCATTGTACATCCGATTCATCCCTATTAAGGATAACCAGGAGCGCGCACTCGCGAATTCGAGTTTCAAAATGCCGATCTCTCGATTAGTAGTTTGAACACAAGCGTTCGGCCACCAGTTTGACTAATCCGCGCGGAGACAGGACATTGCATCATTCTTCTTTCGGTCACCGAATCCACATCGCCAAGTCGTGTTGATTGCTTCTCGAGTGGCGACTTCAGAGTTTACGCTAATCTTGTGAAATTATTCTTCCTCTGAGCTACTTTGAGATTATTAGTAATGTAGGGAGATTTCGGAATTGCCAATAGAAGCTTCGTCCAGTTAGGCCAACCTACCCTGAGAAGCCAAGAAGCTCTATAGCTTATTCATTCTTAGTAGGAGTCATAAGCAGTGCGCATCTAACGAAACTCCAGAGTTTTGAACTCGTGACCTTCTTGTTAGTAGTTTGAACATTTGACCGCCTGACCACCAGCAGCTGGTCAGCAGTGTGGTGGGCATTCAAGCTCGTCTCACACATACCAGCAACTTGCAAACAGCTCAGAGAAAGAATAACTCACATCCACTTGAGAAGCCGTCATTCGTGTACGTGTAAATTACCTTATCTGGAGTAACAGGTGTTCTACGAGCTACCTTCTGGAGGTGGCTATATTTGGGTTCGAGAAGAATTTGTTTCCAAAAACTCCCTGAAAAGGATTTAACGAGAATTTACCTTTATCACCGTTCGCGATTTGGGAGGTTGCGATACAAATGAAATAGAAATTTCTGGTGAGAAAACATAGCGTCGAAAGCATGCATACATTTACAAAAAACCTGTATCCAAAAAGGGACTTACTAACACTACGTCAGTTTATTCTGGTTTGGTTCCTTAACCGGTGGTCACCTTACTATGAGATTGTGAGAATAACCGGTCCAATAAACATTATCACTTTGGAGCGGTTATTTGACGATACGGAAAGAATACACATGGATGAGGATTAACTCGCACACAAAGAGGCCGTTTCATCATAATCACGGTATCCATCCCGTTTTGCAATCATAGGTTCCGGAAATGGATTGCCTAGATGGTTACCTTATGATCTTAAAAGATACTCAAACCTATACACCTCATACTGACATTGTTCGAATGAGAAAGAGGCGAGGTGGCTCAGTGGTTAGAGTGCGAATTTACTGACTGGAAGGTCCGATGTTCGAACCCCACCACTGCTGTCTAGGCTCGGGAAACCTGGCAGCATCCCAGCCCTTGTGCTTCCTTCAGGTGGTATGACACCTAGACACAGTGTTACAGCTGAACGATTTAGCTAACTTTGGATGAGGTGACTGTATTCCGAATGCCACGAATACGCTTGTTTTATACAAGATCGCTTACAGTCATTGGAACCCGGCAGTAAATCCAACTCAGTGCGAGGAATAACAGTGCTTGGTGGATATCTAGACGGACGCGTCTCGTGGACAGGAGAAGCCGATGCCACACCATCATGACGGGATGGTGGAGGACTGCCCAGGTTTCGCGGTTCTCTGCTGATAGAGAAAGGAGCAGGACTTAATGGATGTTCCTTGTTCTGTGTATTGTTGGTTATACGCGCTGCTGACAAAAGCCTATCGTCCTCTCTAAGAAGTGGACGATCCAGATCGATAGCTTCTTGTTCTAGCATACTGAGGTAGGGCGCCGAAGAAGAAAGAGGACCTTAAATAAGCAGAAAAACATGGTAAGAGTGATCAGAAATAGAAGAACATACGATTTAGTAGCTTCATTCCACCTAAAACTGACGGTAAACAGGTACGGATACTTCACAATTGAAAGTACGCACCAGGGACCGTCATAGAGCATACCCCATCCGAAAATGACCGTAAACTCTCTGTTAAATACCTCAACAAAACATTTACCAAACATTCACCAAAACATATACCTGGAAACATCAAAACCGAGATTCAACTGGGTCCCAGGTCTCTCGAAAAACAAATTTAGACCGTCATAGAGCATACCCCATCCGAAAATGACCGTAAACTCTCTGTTAAATACCTCAACAAAACATTTACCAAACATTCACCAAAACATATACCTGGAAACATCAAAACCGAGATTCAACTGGGTCCCAGGTCTCTCGAAAAACCAAATTAGTTTGCAAATGAGTGTACATTCGCTAAAACATTTACCAATTTCGTGACCGGTACTCACTAGTTCGTGTATACAGTACAGACAAAAAAGGCACATGCGATGTCATTGCGATACGACAGAATCGTTTGTTTTAACAAATGTGTCGAACTCGTAGAGAATCTAACCACCTGTGAATGGCTAGAGAATTCTCCCTAACTTTTCACGATCCTCGCGGAGGGTCCGATAAATACCAGGGCCCAAAAAGTTAGAAGCCATTGCCTACCTAATTCACAAAATGCAATCGTCTACACAATATGTTGATGTCAACAAAAGACTCAGCTGAATCTCCCGTTTGTGATATTTCTCAAATGAACGTACTGCTGTTGCAGTTAGCACGATGTTCGAGAAGTCGCAGATTTTCTCAACAGGATAAACGTCGCTGCCGAAGAATCTTCAGCAGTTATTCTGTCAAGAAAACACTACCTGCTTATATACAAGTGGTCAGGTTCGTAAGAAATTCGGTGCATGAGCTGAACGGGGAAAACTGACTGGTGAAAACCACCCAGGAAATTTTATGGTGCACCCAGATCAGACATTCGGTCAACTTATTCTCGTACGGCGGATAGCTGAAACCGTCTTAAATAATAAATTCGTATCCTGACAAACTAATCAACATGAGCTGATTCAAATTAGAATAATTTTTACAAGCTGATTCTGACTGTAAGGACGTCGACGAAATTTGGATGTCTTTTCAACAGTGAATGTGCGCAACGAGCACACAGATAGCATTTTCAAATGTGGATAGTAAAGCCGACATACGTACTGTTTTTTACTTGCGACTTGTGGTGAAATCCTTACATTGAGGATAGCACAGAAGTCGATAACAGGTGGGCTGCTTTTCCAGTCCAAGAACACGCATGCACCCAATTATGGACGTAAACATCGATGGATAGACAGTTCACTCACCTTTTATTGTTAGGGGCGCAGGAAAATCGGTTTCATAAGCCTGGTCGCCTTTTCCAGCGTCCATATGATGGCAAATGCTTAGTTTTTTTAAAGCATCATCCCAATGCATTGGGCATACGTCACCCGGTACCGGAGCCTAGCAAAGAAAATGACGTGGCAAACGATTTAGACATAAGCGAGGGTGTCCATTGTCTGAATGATGAAGGTTTCTGGTCTTGCTTCTGTGAATCCACCATCCTCGTACGTTTACCAGGTATTCTGACAATACTATGTAATACGTAATACGTTTAAAGTCACAACCACAGCACGAATAACAAGACAACCCCTAAAAACCCAGTTTCTAGCATCCCTGGAGGATGTTTTGAACCTGCTACTGAAGTGAATCTGCGTAGAATTACCGGCAAAATGCCCACTTTCAGAGGGACCGCTTATATAAATTTGTTTGTTGCTCGGTATAGCAGAGTTACAGAACATAGTAAATGGACGTTGTACATCAATTTTCACGCGCCGCATAACATTATTAGCCACAATGAGAACATGCTGAAGATCTCACTTCCATTTACTATCCAGCAGTACATATGAGTAGTCGGGTAAATTTTCGAACTGTCGGCAGGAAGGTTGGGACGTGCGTCGCAATTTAATTCATCTGATTTTGTAAACTAGGTGATTCATTCCGCTGGGGACGTCGTGCATGATCAGTTGCGATGGAATCGTTCACTTAGTTCCCATTCTGCATCAGTATATAAACTGTTCACAACTACCAACGCAGATGCCCCACCGTATTGAAGTGTTTTTAACCGCATTTAATTCAAGTTTGGATGACAAAGTGCCTTTTCGTGCGTCCAGATAGGCCACTTCGCAAGCGCATGTACCCTAACTTGTGCCGAATTCAGTCCCCGGCGCAAGGATCTAAAGGCATATATTCAAATTTTCTACATAGAGTGGTTGGTCATTAAGTTAACTGGATTAATTTATTGGGATCGGTAAACATGCGAATGCGATTGTGGACGGAAATGCGCCAAGTAGAGGAAATTAATGCAGGCGGTGGTTGGCATATTTCCTTAACAATGAAGTTTATCCAACCCACGAATAAAAAACCTATATCCTCCTCAGATAATTTTCAAATACATAATGAAGCAATCAAATCAGTAACAGTCTGGGTATTATCCCTCCAACTCGCCTTCGAAGATGGGGTCCGCGCTATCCCGCATTGCATAGTTGAAGGTGCAACACAGAGGTGCTAATCGACGTGAGTGCCGTTTATATTGTCAGTCCCCATCCAGCTTGTTTGAGTAAGTGTTTCGAAGGGTAAGCACTTAGAAATAACTGTAGCAGACTGGCACCAAGTCCACTCCCAGGCCAATTTTACTCCTTCCTTCAAAATGAGGTTTTCGAATCGATTATGGCTGTACGGCAGTGAAACAACAGTGTTGAACAATGATATGCTGATGATGGTGTGAATGCCATCAGTTGCCAGTCTTCGGATCTGCCTCAGCCAGATCCAAACAAATAATTCGAGGGTTTTGAATACAAATCAAAGTCTACAAACTACATACGGCTCGACTTGTGAAATCGTTCATAAAAGGATTGAAATCTAATGACACTTGTGTTTACTAAACTGGGATATAAATCACAAATGAAAAATGGACTCGTATTTCATGGAGACGTTAGATAAAACGTCAGTGGCTTTGTTTGTTTTAGCTGACGAGCTAAAACAAACCATTTGCTTTTCGTCCAGTACCCGCCAACAAAGCGCCACACGCTTTTTCTGCAAGGGTCCACAAAAGCGAGCAACGCATGTAAATCATGCGCCGTGGCTTCCAACAGGGGTCGCTAGGAGCTTTAGGAAGCGGGCTATACCGTAAACATTTCAGGGCTCCACAAGCTTCATAGCAGTATCCACCAGCAGTGGATAGATCACCATGAAAGACTCAATATGACGAGCACCTGGTTAAATCAGCAGGCTAAATATGCGACAACTGCTAACGATATTTCGCATGCGCTTCCAGCGAAAAACTGCCGAGGGTCTGAATCGCAAAAGATACTCGAGTAGCATAGAAAGAGAGAGACAAAAAAAGTTGGACATACGTTCTGCAGGTCCAGAGTAATTTCCAACTTTTGTCGAAAACGCTTTGCGAACTCCGGATACATTTCCAGAATTTCAAACAGGTCATCATGCTGAATTTTGTGCAAGTCACAATAGGTAAGTGCACGCACGCAAAACTTCGATTGTCCCATTAGATCCTGCCCGAACGGGTTCTCTCCAAATACATCGCCCTGGCACAGAACAGCTACAATATCACTGCCCATGACGACCTCGATACTGCCCCGAGCGATGAAACAGATGAAGCAAAGAACGTCGCCCTTGTGAACCAGGGTGTCACCTGGTTGAACGTGGGTAGTTTTCATTTTGAGAGCCAATGATCGGAGACATCCTTGGCTGGCACCTGTAAAAATATACGCGCGGATCATACGACGATGTCATACGAGGTTACAGCAATGGAGGTTGCAATCAACTACGTTTAAATGTCACACGACCAGGATTCATAAAGTAACGAGTCTCACAAATTTGAGGCACGCCGTGGAGGATTTTTAAAAATCAGAACCTGATTATTAAGGTTAGTGGAAAGGGTTAAAGTAACTGAGAAGGCGCGACAATAGGCTGTATAAATCATCGGAAAATGACTGTAACCAAGATTCGAAATAAGATGACGAGGTTGTTGATTAGCTGATAGGATTATCTTGATCATGTTATGACCAGCACAAAGATGCGTGATACACACGAATCAAATGACACTCCTTGATATCCGGCTGCAATTAAGAACATATATTTCAAAGACATGACTGGGAGACAGTTAAGGTCCTAAAAGAGATCAAAGGATATAACAGGGGGAATAAGAAACCTACGGACAAAGTTGAAGAGGGGCGGACGGAGCTGCAAGTCCGAAAGCACGAGCTGAAACTCACTGAACTAAAGTAAACGTTAGCCACTAATGTGAGCTAATGGACAGAATCGGACAAACATGTTAGTACTAAAGCCTTGATTTCGTCTACCTGAGGTGGAGAAAAAACAAAACTTTACCATCTAGAAATATGGAAGAGAAGAAATGTCCGCAGGAACAACGTAGGATTCAAGTCAATACGACCTCCAAGTTCGTATTCACTTTTAGATTGCGACAATCATAAGTAGTCACATGATAGCTAATCTTCCTACACATCCCTAGAGTGGAAATAATCTGGAAAACCCACTGACAGCCTTCTGACTTTGTAAATCCTACACAACAAACCTGTCTGTTCGCCCGTCTAAGAATGTGCTCCGCGCACTTAACTACGTTGTTAGTTTCGTGAGGTTACCCATAACACAGTGCAGCGAATTCAAGTGGCACCTAAATTGACTACCAAAAGTTGTAATAGAGGCTTATATAACCAGACAGCTAAATTAGCCACATTCACCCATAGGCTATCGTCCATGCTTGCTCGATCACCAGAAGTGTGATTTTCTGAATTCGGTTCAGGTGAGCAAACATCAGAACATTTCGTCGCCGACCAAAAGCAGCCGATCACTTCTTGGAGGGAGTTGAACACTGACATCGATGGATAACCAAAGCAGGATCCCTAATAATAAGTGTTTCTACATCGGAGAATCATGAGTAGCAATTTAATCGAAACCCTAAGTATCAACAGAATTTACTCGCGGCGTCCTGGGAATGAAGATGTAAGCGCACGATCTCCCATCAAAATAATGCATTTCGTTCAACGGTTTGTACACTTCCGTACGCTGCTGCCGTTTCCTTAAAAAAGCACTCCATAAAAGGAGAATTGTTAGCTTCCTTTTACTTAGAGCTGTTTTTGAGCTCAGGTAAACACTCACAAAAGGGGACTTCTGATCGGTTTACCGAGTTCGCTGTTGTGATCCCAAACAACGGCTGTTGAGTCCTTTCACGTTGCTTCAAGAAGGCTCACAGATACACGGACCACTTTTGAAACAAGCTTGGCTGTCACAGGGTTGGTTGGAGAGTTATTTGGTATCGAAATTAAGGAAAACTCAGTCAGCGCGTTTTTTACCATGGTGCTTTTTATAATGGGAATGCATATCTTGGAGACAACTAGCGTGAGAGGCTAAAGCTGGTCTAACAAATAGCAGTAGTTCTGAGTCAACTTTCACGGGATCGAAATGAAGTTCTCTTAGCTGAGAGAGTGATCTCCCCTAAGAGTAGACTATTTGGAGGCATTGCTGCTTCTCGAGGGTGAAGTGTGCACCTACACATATTCTTCATTTTTCGTAGCACAGATTCTGTCTCCGGACGAGTCTACTCCTACTTCAACTTCCTCGATGTGGCAAACAACGCTGCCGTTTGTGGAACGTCGAATGGTGAGGATCAGAATCGTCAACAGTGTGTTGCTTCACTACCGTACGACCATTTGAAGGCCTTATTGTAAGCAGAAAACACAAAGTTGATGGTGAAGGGACTAGTGCTAGCATACCTCAATCAATCAGGGGTGCATACAACTCCAGACACCCAGTCAGACAGTTTGGATAGAGACTGACGCTACGGACGCTTTGACATCGATTATCACGTGCAACTTGCAGCGTCTCTATCCATGCCCTGGGAGGGTCGCATGAACCCCATCCTGGAAGACGTGTTGCACCAATGGTAGCCAAACCCTACACAATCTCTCATACCAGTCTGTCGGGTCAAAGGTCACCAATGTCTTGGCTCGCGATCCCCCTAAATTAGGCACGCGAAACTAGACTCTCTTCGGCAAACGATTATTCAGAATGCGCATGAAAAACCATTGCAGCTTGGGGAGCTGGACATTCTTCGACTGAACTCCCTGTTGCACAACCGGACACCGGCTTCATAATTGGGCCGTTGCGAATTCGCTGACAGCGACCCACATTAGCTATAGTTCTGAGGAAACGGTAAAGAAAGGCCCGAAGATGTCTCAATTCCGCCGCTCATAAAGATCACGCCTCACAAGCATACATCGAAATAGGCCATGCCTTTGTCTGATAAACAAGCCCCATGAGATTTAGGATATGCCGCTTTGATGACACAGGTGTCTCAAAACAGCAAACATGAATTGAGTCTCAAATGAATGCGCTGACCGCATTTGTGACACCAAAATCGGAACTCACAACATCCGATATAGGCAAAAAGCTCCCCAACCTCCAGTGTCTTTCCTTGGACGACACAAGCATGACCTTGTAATTTGTGGGTGCAAAGCGCATGCAGAAAATGGGTGGATTCGGTCGGTTCGTGCAAGTTAAACCCTGCTACTTGAAAATCCACAAAAACAAGTGGCTCACAAGTACAGCAGCGAAGCACCCTAGTTGAATACCGATGTCCTGCTGTCGACGAGTATGTGTGTGCCTTTCCAAACATTCTGCAGTCTGTGAATACGAGTTCTTCTATACACTTACCGCTCTTACCCAAACTGTGCTCTTTCCTTAACCCCACCTTATCTGCTACCTATATTCTTCATTGGACTTAGCTATTTCATTTGCTTATTCCCATCTATTCTTTCCATGGCAACACATTTCCGCCTGCTGAGATGGCACGTATCTTTTTTGAACTATCTTTAGGGAATCTGTTCAAGTGTTTCAGTTGTCTCTTCTGTAGGCTGGTCCGCTATTTTTAGTACATTTGGAAGACGACTGATCCCAGAATGATTAAACAATGCGCATTCGTCCGTTGTAAAAAGAAAGATATATTATACAGCCGTCAGCGGACGCCTCCTATTCTCTTGCCACGTGCTCCGTTTCCATCACCAAACCAGTGACCTATACGGAACTATACCCACTCAGTATTCGGGGTCACTGAAACGAGGTTAGGCAGTGGAGAGAAGTCTAATAATGGTGGTTGATCGGATGGCAGTTGATCTGTTCGCCGAGCTTGACAATTGGCTTGACCCATTTAACTGCGCACTGATGATGTCTCCTCGACTGGGGACGAAACGTTTGCAATCTAATTGCAAGGCTCGGCGAACAGATCAACTGCCATTCGATCGACCACTAGTAAACACACCCGAGCTATCTATATTCCGACAAACTGACAACAAATTCGGGCGTTGTACGCTCAAAACAGCTCGTCGATGGGAAACTTTCGCCTGCCGTCAAGCCTCTACACAACAACAGCTACACATCCTTCGTGAATGTCTGCGACAATATATTCTTCCTCGTATCGTAACCTATCGACCACCACTGAATCATCCACAAGCGTGGATGTTGGCCAGACAGAATGGTAGGTGGATGGTCCGGCTAATGATCACAGATGCACACAACCGCATTAAAAAGTACGAGAGAATAGTCAATGAACATAGCGCAGCTTGCCTGAGAATATTGGGACCCGAACTTCTACAACAACTCAGAATTGCAAAAGAACTATAGGTCAGATCCGCCACCAAAAACAAGAAAACCGGTCTCGAAAACAAACTCGCTAGACTAATTGGTAACCGAGAAAAGGAGAAAAACCATAACGCTTGGACAAAGAACCTTTCCAACAGAACAGAATGTTCTAATCAGAGAACTCAATTTCAAATCCGAGGATGCCACAAACCTAGAATACCTAGCCAGTCTGGAGGCAGCTATGAATTACATTCAACTTGATGAAGACGCTCAGCAACACCTCCGCCAAACAGAAGTCTAATAAACAATATCTTCCGACACTCCGAAGTAGGAGATTGGAACAAGTGAGGTAGCATTTTTGTAAAAATATAGACTATTCCGGCTTTCGACCAAAGACTTCGGTTGGAAACGAGCAGCATCTAACGTATCGTACGGGCAAACCAAGATATCAGTTGCATACCTTTGAAAGGTAGTGAAGTCTCAAACAAGTGACGGTTCAAATGTAAACAGATATCCGCTTGTAAGCATTCGGGGAAGCTCCGCAATACGAAGTTCATATCAATACCATTTGTATAAGACCACGCATGTTGGAAGAATTCTTCCAAACGTCTTTTGAGTGGGTTTGGGATTTGGTGAAAACGAATAAACTCCTTCACACGAAGCATTTGTATATGATACCGGGCGGTTCCACTGTAGAGTCGTTGGATAATAGCGCTGACATGTCCGAAAATACCGGCATACATTAGGGCTGTTGAGAAAATAAGAGACAGAATATAAAAAAACGCGAATACTCTATTGTTCGCCTTAAAGTCACCACGGTAAAGCACAACAAGCTGAAACGATCGACCACTAAAACTCACGGTCTTCGGAAAAGCTAAAGTACCTATCATTGGTGGGGTAATTTATTCACAGGGTCCATACCAAATCGCCAGCACAACGCCGATCCTATGCAGGAGCACATAAGGAGGAAGATGAGTCCCTTTCAAATAGAAGCGCAATCCCAATAAACGAATGTAACATTAGTGGTAGCGTGGAATCTCAAGTGCTGAGTAGTGGATTATTACTAAATGTCGTCCTACTGATTTTTGAACCACCGATTCACTGAAGTTGGTGAACGTTGCCTGAATGGCTAAACTCGCACGTTGATGGCAGGTGGTTATCGGGTACACGTGCGTCGGTTGAGTCTGCCAATTAAGAACAACCTTTCACCAGCGGGGAAATAGACAATGGGCACTTACATCCAACTAGCATGACACAAATCGAAAATATCTTCTCCGGATTTGTGTTGGGGCTCACGTTGCCAAACCCGACGGAGGTCAAACTGGAGAAAGTGAAATAGAGTGCGGTGATGTATTTGGCCTGAATGGTCGGTCCCATTGTCGATCGATTGGTGTACGGTTGTTGAATTTGGGCAGCCAACGTGTCCAACCATCCGGTCCATATGTAATGTTTCTGGCGTTGAATATGGCCAACAAAGTACCAGATGCACGCAAGCCAGTGAGCAATGAGCACAAACGTTGCCATGAGCAATAAGAGCACCGCAGCGCCGTATTCTGAGTAGCGATCTAATTTGCGCACCACTCGCACGAGACGAAGCAAACGTGCAGTTTTCAGTAGTCCAATCAACTTAACCATCTGCAAAAGATTTTATGTTTACATTATCATGAGTGCCCACAACGAATATTACCTCCGAAAGATGGAAATTTCACTATAGCCCTAAGGATGTACCAAAAGGAAAGAAAACGAAGAACAGGAAGACCCTATGGAATTGCTCCAACAGTGTTGAAATGGATGAGTTTTCTCAGCTGATTTGGTTTATGAAATTTGGGCAGTTCCTTCATACATAGAAAACGGGTCCCAACCGTTAAGCTCTTGAACGCACATGCCTCACAGATGCTGGATAGTCAGTCTTTGTACTTACGCCAATCTTGTTTTACCCACCAGAGGAATCCGAGATAATGATGAATATAAATGACGTTCAGTGTACGATAAGTAGTGCTGGAAGTTGAAGTGTTCCGTGTTTACAATTATTCCACTGACCTTGTGGGACAATTTGATTATCATTACCAATTTGATCCGTTAATGCATGAGACATGTGAAGCACGGATGAACCTCGCTATAAAGACATCGTCCGTTTTGAGCAAAATGAGTCAGTAACCAAAGGCAGCGACATATCTATGCCAAGTTTTGTCTTACATTCACTAAACAAAACGATAGATGGATATGCCTGTATGAAGAAGACAGCAAGAGAAACAGCTCTTCATCTAAGAAGCGGCAATTTTCACAGAGGTGTACAATGAAGTCAGAGACCTTCATATCAACCACTGGCTCGTCAAACTGATATATTCCAACTGCCTCTCACATGTACCCACTGTATCACTGAGAGTGATATTCCCAGCTTTACGATTTGTTTCAACCCATCCGGTGGAGAGAAACATGGACCTTCGGTAGTCAACCATGACTGTGAATAGCAGGCGAAGCTTTGTTCGATAAAGTCAACTGCTGTGTTACTCTATTGTCTTACTAGACACACTTCTAGGTGCAAAGCCTAGAGCTACACACTCAGAAGCATTCGAAGTAACACAAGAGATGCCGTTTATATCAAATCCTTACGAAAGTTTCTGTGGAGTCTGCTTATCTTCGGTAAAGGCTAAAGTGGAATTTTACACTGAGGTCGTTTGCCAGTACTTGAATGTACCAGCTATCATCTGTGCTACCGCCGATATATCGAATCTTGTTTTGAGCGTTGATTCAAAATTAATGAAAAGCACATGCGTCAGTACACCTAATTCTGAGCGTACTGGAAGAGCACGGAAGGGGCTCACCAATGCTGTAGAATGAGCCAAATGGGTCAACTCAAAAATTGTCATGAGAAGAACAATATTTCGTAATCATCGTGATTATTCCGCAAGCGATTGACTGAGGTAGGGTGATCCAACTTAGGTGTAGAGTACGCAATAATGAAACTGGACAAGAGTGATTCCTAGGATTACGTAGAAGCAAATGCAGGCAGCGATTGGCTCTTTTCATGCCACATACGTACGGTAAAGTAGTGGCTGCCGCTGTAACTGACGACAGTACCGTTGGAACATCCACGCAACGCATTATTAAGAAGTTAAGACGGACTACGGTGTATCACTAGATCTGACCAAAAAACACTGACCGATTGATTATGGATGGCCAGTGGGGATCGGTTTAGGTCAAACAGCACGGAATGTGCGACCGAATTCGTTGTGAAGGTTTGCAAGTGTCCGATGGGAAGAGTGCTGTTACAAAGAATACTGCTCTTCCAAGAGAATACTGCAGTAAGGATATCGAAGTGAATAAGACTGACCATATTGGCATTTTTTTCTATATTTCCAAGTTTTAGGTGAACACATGAGATAGGCTGGTTTCGCACTTTAGTGCGGAATCCACAGAAAAATATTTAACCGTGGATTTGTTTGACGACAAGTTGGTCGTGAAATTTGTTTACCTGGTGCATACGCAAACACCTCGACTCAAGTGGCTTAGTGGACCGAAATACGAGTCATACCAGCCATACCATTTAGAAATGGCTAAAAGCCGGATACTTTTCGTTTGATAAGGAACCTTATATAAACATTGTGCACTAAAAATGTCCAGGTGGGAACGCAATCCAAGATGTTGCCATTGTAGCCGTTTACTGTAATTAAAATAACCCTTGAAAAGCCTAGCGTGTCGCTAGACTGAAGTGAACTGACGAGACCTCCACAAGTCCATTTCCAGAAAATGCGTTTCGTGTAGATGTACTGGCCAAGGGAGAAAGATGTTGGTTTGTGCTATGCTACAGACCCGGCTTTTCAACCCTGAGATGAACAAATATGATCATCCGCTTTCGGTTTATGGTGTGGGAGGAAAATAAGTTGAGCAAAACAGAGAAGCAGTCACAAACCGGTCCAACCATACGACAGTCAACTCACATCGTCGGTTTGCGCACCGATCTGTATCAGGTCAAAAGGAATGGCCGCTACGACGTCGATCAGAAGCCAACCTTTGAAATAATGAATAGCGATGCGGCCAGGGTCGGATATCAGCTCGTCATTCTTGTTCACGTACGTTGTGCGAAAATTGATAAAAATATCGATGATAAACATGATGTCTACGAAAAAATCAATCGCACGGAGTGTCGACCATTCGCCCTGAAAGGGGTGAAAATTAAAACCGATTAGGCGGAGGAAGGAGCCAAGATAGAGATTTCAAGATGCAAACGAAATGAGTACTAATTACAAAGTATCTGCTGAGAGTAGGGTGCAACTAACTGTTGACTTGGATTTGATACTACTCAGTGGTCAGGACGTTAGCCATTGGATGGCCAGGCCAACCAGGCATCGAAACTCACGGAAAATTTAACTACCAGGCTATGACCTTCGAATACAACTCGGGTGTGATTATATAAGCCTCAGCCACGTAAAAGAAACGTCACCGTCTGACGGGCCATCTGTTAGACGTAGAGAAAGCAACATCAGCAGTAGTATTAGGAAGTCTGTACTTATCAGCGACGTCGATCCTCTAGTTCGGACGGAATGAATGGCCAAAAATAGCCGCGTTGTAGGCCATTCTTCCACAGCTTTCACAAGTAAGCCACAACCGGTTCGGTCTTGTTTGATCCGAATTGCCATAGGACTATTTTTAGTACACGCCAAATACAGTAAAACCCAGATAACAATTTTTGTAAACAATATCACGAGCCTTATGGTAGGACATGCAGGCTAAATCGATTGAGTCGGTAACAGAACAAGTAACAGCAACCTCTAGTCCTTCATTTATGAGCAGTCGCCGAAAAAATACCGGCCTCAAGCCGCATTATGATAAATCGAAGTTTTAGAAGAGAATAAATACCATTCGAAGTAATGGAGACACTGACACACTGTCATGAAACTGTTCCCTAATCCACCTGTGGTGCTCATTGATAAACCCTCAAAAAGATTTCACTAAAATAACTACTATTACATCCTCTGTCGTCAGCGCTGGCTGGTTAGGTTGCTCAGAATGAGTATATCGTCCGTGGGATTCTACCGCAATAAGCCACTCAACACGCTAGCTGCCGACAGTATCGAGAGTGCATGTACAGATAGCCGGGCGGAACTGTGGTGTAGAGTGCAAGGTAAGTAGCCAATGGTTGCTATAAGTGTGCATGAGTGGAGAAGATGAAGGAAGCAGAAAGTCAAGATGTTTTCAGTCCAAAATAGGAAATTTCACATAACTGACTATGAGCACATTATGATGTGGAGAACAAGCACCGGCGAGCCAGGTCTCCCACTAATCAGGCGACGGAATCTGAGCTGGAACAGTACACCTGGTTTACTTATGTGGTTCTGGTACGCGAAATTCTACCGGAGTTCGTAGTATTTCATGAGCGTTCGCGGGAAAATGCACGGATTCGAAATCCAGACTGAGCTTGCTCATGGTCAGTCGCGTGCACATCTTTGCAGTGGCAGAGAGTTCAATAAAACTGGAGCGTGCATCTGCCACCTTAAAATCAAGACCATCTCCCAGAATAATGCAACAAATAATCCTGTCAGTCAACAATATGCATTCCTGATATACTTAGGAATATCCTCCTAGTTACGCCGCGGAGTCGGCTAAGTACCACTAAAGTGGTAGAACATTTTCGAAACATGGATTCATTTCTGGATACAGAAGAGGACAGGGTTTTGAGATGCAAATGGGAATCGATGGTGTGAGCTCACCGATTTTCTCGTAGTTTTGTTTTCCTCCAGTAAATGGAAGGCAGCGGCGTACGGGGTAAATATGGCAGTGTAGATGACGAGACCCAGGATAAGCCAATCCCATACCGCCTTCACTGGACCATAGTGCTTCAAGGTGAACGGATGAATTCTAGGTGAATGCAGTTTATGCTCGGGATGAACATCCGGACCGAGGGAAAGCATCTGAAACGGGATTCGAAGGTCATCATCGCCGGTGACTGAAAAATCGAACTCCATGCATGTTACAAGAATTGTTACTGCGCTGATGGGTAGGTGTCACAGAGGGATTAAGGAAGAAAACCTTGATAATTCGTAGGTATGGAGTTTTAAAGACTAGTGAAAACGGAACGTGACACCAGAAACATCGAACTCAATTTCAGAAAGACTTGACTTTCCGTTCTAAGTGCAAGTCAACAAGAGAGTGTGGAGGAATCGGTTGCAGACTGTTGACTCCTATAACACGTCTACCAGCTAGTTTGCACAGATGATGCATTTGAATTATATGTGAGTCTTGGTCTAACAAGCAGTTGATTGGTACTATTCGTCTAGGTAAGTGAATTTATCAGACGGTGTCGGAAACTCTTAAGAACAACTGAGGAGAATATTTCAGAAGACAGTGAAGACGATATACAACCGTCCAACAACTCTGACGAATAATGAACTCGGTTGGTCATGGGGCGGCATATGTTCGGGAGTTCATTAGCCAAGGGGTAATGCCAGACATGAGCCGGCATGCTTGGCAGTGAAACATTATACAGACACCATGTGCGCAGTAAGTAAAGACAAAGACTCGAGGATGCAGTAAATCGCCCTCATCCGTCTCCAATTCCACGCGTCTATCATAAGTTGCCTTTCTTGAAGTAAGCTGGGAAAATATCTACCTCTGTGGAGTCTATGAAATATTGGGATAGTGAAGTAAATCCGTGATGTGTACCTAGTGAGGTTCACTGTAAGTCAAATGCGAGAGGCGTGGAAAAAGTTTGCGGAGAAGCTTATTACCGTGGTTTCGTCTACAGAAATTACTAGTAAGAAATAAACTTAGGTTTCAAAGTATGTGACTCGTCTTAACTAATTGTTGGAATAGGCATGTATCTCAAGAAAATTAGGATGATGCCATCTACCAAGCCATCGATCGTCACAAATGACTTGCTAGTCAAAAAAGCTTGAGTTTGACATTCGGTCAGATATTAGGTGTGCAGTTTTGACCGGACAAATAAACTCACGCAAGTAACGTTTTTCAGTACCATATCACATTCCAGACACCCAATCAAACCACAAGCCGTCGGTTTTGGAAAGGCCCGGTCTTCTGTGGTGACCAACGATTTTTCATAAGCCACTAACTGGCAACCGATCGCGGCCAACATCCGATTAGTACACTTCTTCTCCACTCAAAGGAATTAACCAAACGCTCAAATGTAGTCGGCAAGTACGTCACCCTTAGCACAGTTGTGTTTGATCACACTCCTCCATGGTTGTCGCCTCTTCCAAAAGTGGTTAAGACACTGCCGGAAGTACTGATCCGTTTATCAAGCTCGTAGACTAGACGTTCGAGTTGGTTACTCCCAATGGGGTGATTGTTTAGTAGTTGCTCGAGGACAGGCTATCCATGCTTAACTGCTAAGCGAAGGGTTATGTGGCCAAGCTATCCTATGCCCATGTGACGAGGTTCGATAATGGTAATAAGCTTCATGTGCCTGAGATTTTTGCAGCCGATCACCTGTCGAAACGGGAAAGGTCTACACATAGTAAAGCTCTGCACATAATAACTATGGGGTGAACCAAAAACGTCTAAACAGAAGTTCCGCTAACAGGCAGAACAGCTGGTTACCCTCTGACCTTACACCTACTGCGAGAAAATGAATCAAATTACTTTTTTTGTTTCTGGGATAGAATTCGCACACAATGGAAACAATACATGAGCTGAAACAACTTCTAATATGTCTCAGTTACCCACACTCAATCTGAAGCGATACTAGGTGAAAAATAGGTACCCACCTCTGCAACTTTATCCGACACATTTCGGTGCGACATGAGACCGGAATCCGTAGTGATTACGATACCGCCGGTACCATGAGCCACTGCCGAACCAACACGGAGCCCTTGGGACGAGCCCGAATTAGTTCTTGTCGGGAAACAACGGTGTGATTTTTTTGTTGTCTCTCCACCGTCAAGAAGCATAGACGAGGTCTGACTAACGGTTGACAGATTAAGATGGGATGAAGCGGCTTCGGGTGCACCAAGATGAGCTGAATCTGATGACTGCCCGAAATGATGGTCAGCAGAACTGTGTCGTTGTGCCAGCAAGCCTGTAGAAGCCAACTCTGAAATAAAAGTACGAAAAGTAGTGACAGTAAGACAGAGGTATTCGACTTGACTGTCTGGACTCTTGGAGGTAGCTGTCCACTTAGGGAAACAAGTTGGTACATATATACGTTTGATTCATGAACCATCAGATTCTAGTAGACTGACTGGAGCTGAACCAGCGTAGTGTAGTCGTGACCACACGTGACCATAGCGTACTTATTCGCCATGGCATACAGAAACAAACACTCAAGCTCAGGCCCAACCGGTTTCGAAAGATACATAATTTCAATTGCAACAAGAGCTACATAAGTACATTAAATGACATTTCGAAATGCCATACAACTGGCCAGAAAATACGGGAATCCCTCCCTGAGGACAACACATGAGAGGATTCAACCCTTTGAACAACAACCCACCCCTCGGGGAGAAACTCCGGTAGAACCTAAGAGGAGGCACTTTCTACTCCTGAAAATGGCTAGTTTATTTCTGAAAAAGAAACATTACGACAAAATCGTCCTACGACGTCAATCCACACTCAATGGTGGGCAGTTACTTCAAAGTCATGGGTACAGCTGACACACTAGTTCCCCACACTAGTGAACCGTTTTTGACTGAACCTGAACATATGTAGACAATAATGGAAACCATGCCGTGTGGTCACGTACTGACTGGCTCCTCGAGCGACGACTTCTCAAATGAAAGTTCCACTCATCTGGTGAAATTATTCTTCCTCTGAGATACTCGTTGCTTGGTAGTGATATGAGGGGATTTGGCAACGCTCAATAGAGATATGGTGTCCAATCCTCGATTTATGGAGAAATTAGTCTAAATGCGATCACTTGGAATGTTTGCAAGTGAAGACTGGATGTGCAGATTTTAACACACACGAATCAATAGGAATGAGGATTATGATTCACATAAGTCTGTTGAAAACTTTAAGTTTATGGTATCACCCATAAGAGATTTACTCTTATGGAACGCATTTATCTTTCATTTCCTACTGGATTGAAAGATTTGTCTTCGGGTGAGCCTTCAAAGAGTAACCAGCCGCAGAATAGCAACGTTTTTCGGGAAAAGCTAACGACATTTGCCGTGGAGTGAAACTGAAGCTTTTTGAAAAAACAGCGCAACTCGATAAGAAACCTGCGGAATAAACAAAAATGCTTGGTCGAAAACATATGTCTTCACGCTAGATCTAACGGGAGGAAAATGCACGTAAACCATACTTCCTCTGTTTTTGGATAATTACAGAGGAGGCTCTGATCTGTACCGGGCCAGAGTAGACAAGCGACAAACAGTGGAGAGTTCTATTTCGACGACACGGGCTTGAATCACCACATGGGCTGTGGGCTTCCATTTTAAAAAACGGAGTACACATGTTCCACCAATAAAAGTCAGCGGAAGACATTGTACATTACTGTACACTATGGAGGGCTGTTTCCCCAAACCTAACCATTTTTCTAACCACCACCATGCAGGCGGTTCACCTGGAATATGGAATGAGTTTCCTCACAACATTCATGAGTGAAACGATAATCCTAATGTGGTCATTCCTCAAAAGTTAGTTCCCCGAAATTATTTCATAAGCTAAAGGGCCTAATTTCTTGATTAAAAATGGCGACATATAATGATATGGGGGATACTGCTGATGATCATAATGATACTTCATTTCAAACAGTACCACGTTGGAATACCTATGATTAAAACACTCAGATTCCTTCCTGTGCGTATGCAAATGCCCAAGTTCAAGACACTTTCGGTGGTTAAAGTCGTTGTACTCTATAAAAGAGGAACGCTGGATAAGAATTGTCTTGTTTGACGGTTCCTAATCGAGTCCATCTGATTGTCGACATGATCTTGGTTCACAAAGATCGAGACAACTATCACTAAACGATGCACCATGACACACTAGTTTGCATCAATCACAGATGCGCAACAGCATTGGGTGTGTGGAACATTCACTTTGGATGAAATGATAGATGTTGTCGCGTCTGGCAAAAGCCTGGTGAAGAAGCTTTGAAACAAATGGAATTTTGTTGGTTGTTGATCAGGTGGCTGTGATCTGTTCGCCGAGCTTGGCAATTGATGCGCATTGATGATATCTCCTCGTCTGGTGACGAAACGTTTGCAAGCCAATTGCCAAGCTCGGCGAACAGATCAACAACCAATAAACTCACCCGAGCTACCACTAATTCCCCACATTACCAAATGGAATTTTACTGATTTTAGTGAATATAGCGTGCGATATGGTTCTTATGAGGGACACTTTGGGATCCCGTTAGTGTTCTCTCAAAAGGGGTATTGTAATAGAAAATATCAAAAAGCAGAAACTTCCAGTGAACTAGAAACTGATTACATGAATGAAAAAGACTACCATAGTGGCGTAGTACATTTCAACACGTCATAACTCAATAAGATCGCACTGCTAATCGAACGACCGTACTGGACAGCATGTGTATTATCAATGTCTTACCCATTGAAGAGTGTACAAACTGTTCTTGGTTTATTTCCTCTGGCATAACCGTAGTGTGATGAGCTGGTGATTGAGTGGCTCGATGTCCGATTGAAGTGAGTATCCGGGTCAAGCCAACAATTCGATGAAACTGAGAGGCCAAAACGGAGAGCTCTGAAGCCAATAACGAAAGAGCGCAAGTGTTTGGCATCGAAGAGCAAAGAATAAACAGCAGAATATAACAATAAGGCGCATCTGATTTCTGTAAGTCAGTGTGACCTACAGTCAGCCGACAGTCAGTCTCGGAAGGAATTCAGTGATCCAAGATCCTCGATTTCTTTCACTTGGATGTCTATCGAAAAACACTCCAGCGACTCATCAAAAACCACACCCAGTCAAGATTTTAAGCACCAAGTGCGGTGTCAGATGGAAATAGGAATATCCGAATTCCGGGAGGATAGAGAAGATTAGAACTACGAATAAGTACGACCGAGAAGCAAGACTAGATCACCATATAGTACCCATCTGCTGAACTGTGTTAACAGCGAAACCAGATCACCCAAACATCCAAACAGTTGTCCCCGTGCGGTTGTTCAATCCCATTCTCATACAGTTTACAGTATGAGCGTTCAAAGAGCTATCAAAAGCGATGCAGAGGCTTCACTAAGAAATACGCGGTATTCGCCAACTCGAAATAAAACACGGCCAAATCACTATGGCGTGGATTTTGCCAGAATTAGTCCGTACACCGTGAACATCGGGAAGTCACTGGGACAAAAACACTTATCGTCCGAAATGCTCTGTGATCTTCCGCTCTGAAATGTTTGTGACGTACACACTAATCATTTGTCGAAACAAGTGGTGCACATACGACTAACTGCGGTCAATGCTGATCTTGAAACACTTTGGCAGTCAACTTGGGGGCATCACATGACACGTACCACGTTATGGATTGGTAATTCTGAGCAGTTTTTGAGGCAGTCAAACCAGAGTTGACCACCACTGGAGAAAATGAACGAATGACCTCGAAATCCAAAATTTTGGACTAAAACTTGACAATTCACTGACTCGGTCCCTAATTGTCAAGTAGAATCAGTGTAATGACACTGAGTACTGGTCAATGAAGGAACTCTGAGATACACGGGCTTTGTTACATGTATCCGCTAGCCAAGACCAGAACATTAGCCAAAAATGGAGTGGGCAAGGCCGCCGATAACCAACTGCAGTCACTTACGTTTCTCCTAGCAGTGAATACTTCCATTTTCGAGGTTCTAACGCCCTCTGATGTTGCTGTGACCTAAATAAACCTTAATAGTTGTGACATTTTTATGGAGTAACTGTCGCCCACCGTAAATGCAAGCAGTAGCTATGGCAGGGATACTGTTACAGAGTTCGGACTGGGCCTTGATGACTGCCGCCAACTCTGTTTGACTGCATAAACGTGGTACGGCGCTGTCTGAGTTTTCTAGCGGATACATAGGTTTGTTACACTGTTCGAAATCACATAATATTGACATAAGAACGACTAGGTGGTCTAGTAGGACCGTAAGTTGAGCCTGAAACCGAACAACTACTTCCATACTCGCGATGCCGTTTAAAACCTCGCTAATTCCATTGATTACCTGTTTTCTCTTTACTCCCAAGGTTCTTCTGATTGTCTACCTGCAGGGGTGCACTAACTTTCGACACTTGTTTTGCACTTCGAAGATTTAGGGACAGTTCGCTGTGTACGCTCTGATGTTGAGGTAAGCTGGTAAGTATGTGTGATTTTGCCAGAGCACAGTTGAAATACTTTGCCAATTTGTTTCACGTTCTCCGTTCTAAGTGATAATGATGAAAAAAGTGATTCATTGTTAATACGTATACCAGTTCCTCAAGTATCCAACATCATCAGGAAAAATAACCTGAACGCCAAATTTCTGGCGCCGGTGACCTGATTGTGACCAACGTTCTTACAAGTGCATACTCAGGTTCGGCTCTTCATGTCCTTTCAAATGCAGTTATATTTATTGCGCTTGTTCTAATGATATTAAATAGTTTGGCCAGTTACATTTTTATCGTTACAGAAACGGTGATCCGCTAGCCACCCTGGTGCTGAGTTCAGAGAAAATAAGCTTGTCCAAACAAACCATACTTTAAAAAAGCAGTATGAACATGAATTTCCTGTGAATATCGGGCTTTCTTGTTCTTAATGCGCCATGAAACCTGTTTCGAAAGTGGTGTTTACAGTTCGTGACATACACAGAATAAATTAGGATATACACAAGGCACGATGCACACTAATGACTGAAATCGTTCTCCGAGATCATCTGAGTTTTTCGGTGTCAGTCAGTCAAATGTTGGTCTTCAATAAGTAAGCTGTGTGGTATATGCAAACGTTCTCGACAGTTCAGATTATACTTTTATTATAGGGCGGGGAAGAATTGCCCTTGGCACTAAGGGTTCATGTGGCTCACAGAGACTAATATGGCCGTAGCTGACTTACAGGAACGATATTTTGATCACGAACCATGAGTGAAGTTCATGAGTAAGATCACGATTTATGCTACGTTCACGGCTTCTTAGTGCTAACTATCGTTTAAATGTCAAGACTTGACGCCTTTAAACACCACTTACTTTCAACTAACAGGCAGGAATAACTTCGATTTTTCATGGTAGTCCCGTGAAAACAAAACATAAACTCGTGGGATTTTGGACTATTTCTAACCGACACTACCACGAACATCTAAACGCCAATATATCTTCTTCGATACATTCCAAACGCTTTTAATTTTCTGTCGAACAATCGGCAAGATCTAATACTTGTTAAGTAACACCAACAGTTTCTTGCTAAATTGTATTGTGGATAAAACTGACCTTAATAGTACCAGGCCAATGAATTTTGCCATTGGTCCAGCATTAACGAAATGCAAGTGAACCTTCGCCTATTGAGATGCATGAAAAAGCACATGTACTGGATGAGATCTACGGGTTTGTGGGAAGGTTCACAAGCATGTCATGCTGTAGAATCCTAATGAGCAAAAATTCCATATAAATGAGGCGAACCGCACATGGTCTCAGAGGCAGAAACGAAGGTTAGGCAAAAGGCTTACTTCCGCGATCGGATTTTGACTTGACGACATCGGCATCCTCAAAGTCAGACATGCCACGGAAGGTGAGGATATAAAGCCGCACTTGACATTCCGCATTGCGCACAGGGGCAACCGCAATTTGACAGACAAAATGAAAGCCTGCCAAAAAGAGAAGTAACATTTGGGTGGAAATTGAGGTAAAAGCGACAGCCACTGACTGCCGACTGCTAGATTTCCAGTAATAAAACGCACCTATTAGAGGGAGTTCTCCACTGCTTAAACATTCTGGAAGCACCACAGTTACCAAGGGAAATGTTCATTTTTTGATACCATAGAGCTCAAATTACTACATCTGTGCTCCCCTGAGGAGGCCATGTCAATCTAAAACGGCACTGAATTCTGTTATGAGACTCGAGTGAATACAGTTGATTCCCTGCAGTTAAGTTAGAAGCAAAATGGTTTGATTGTGATGGCCTCACAGACTCGTTTTTTAACATAACAGTGGTGGGTACTTGGCGAAAAATGCAGCAGCTTGTGTACGACGTTCGACTTGTCCCAAGACAAGGGTCGGATGGTAGAATAGTTCTAAAGCAAACATATAGGTCATATAGTTTTTCAAATAGACGGGCTTCGTTAGAACAGCCAACCCCAGCGGGCTGACCAACACCGTCGCTGCTATTACGAATGAGTCCCACTCCATCCTGACATGATACATGCATTAAACTGAACGATAATGGAGACAAGATGTGTCAATTTTGATAAGGCAAATCAACCGTTGGAAAAAGTTCAATTTGGACATTAGCATGTCAAGTGACAGCGCAAAACGGTGGAACCAGAAAAATGTGAAACGGTTCACTGCAATGAGGAAAGCCCCGGAAATAAGGTATATGACCAGTGGTGGAAGATAGGTGTATGGATTCAAATGTACAAAACAATGACTGTTAAGTGGTCTTCAAAATGCTAGTTATTTTTAAGTGATACTGTTGACTGGGGCAAAGGAATTTACATTTCTGTCGATACGTTAGAGATCCCGAGGTCGGTACAATACATTTACATATGAAAATAAACTATATACGATTGTTTCCAGATGAGAGGAAAAGTAACAAGGTTCGTCAGAATGAAAACGCTCATCGCTTCGCTTCTTGTAGGAAGGTTATTAGAGTTGAGTCAGTAGGAACCAGAAAGATTAACAAAGGTGATCCGATCAGGGAGATAACGATATTTGTGCAAAAAGGATGTCCTCGTGAAACCACGGGGGCATGCCGGTGTTCCATTCACATGTGGCGTTAAAACATCGAAATGTCAGGATTCTACTGGCAATTCGGAACGGGATAGAGAAAAGTTGAATTAATCTTTCTGCCGCAACTTCAGTTAAACTACCGTCCCTCACATCAGTAGCTTTGCCGTAAAATCTAAACTAAAATGAAATGAAGGATAAGGAATGACTGGATGGGTCAGTTGAACACGACAGAAGTATGTGTGAACTACTATCATTCTCAAGAGTCACTGTCCGCCCAGCTTGGACTTTCTCAAAAAGGTACACACCAGAAAGATCCTCGAATGCGAAGCAGCAGAATTGGCATTCCTAAGCAAAACTCATTAAGTCATGTTAAATGCACAGGACTTCATCAAGTATGCGTACCAGCCTTGTTGTACAGTATGGCGAGAATTACTCGTTCCTCAGTATCCGTAAGTGCCTGCTTCAACTCCCCCACGGCTTTGGAAGAAGTGAGAGGACCGTAAAGAAACTCCAAGGCGGCGGATCGTTGCAAGATTTCCGCGCGTGAATAGCCACACATGGTGCACAAATCATCATTGCAGAAAATGATCGGCGTTTGTGGTAGCACGGCATTGGCGATCAAAAATTTTCGGCCTGCGAAAATATGGAAAAACTTTTAGTGTGTAGATCACGGAAGGACACACTGGAGACTTTCAAAATTTGCGAAATCTAGAATGCTAGGAATAAAAACTAGGAAAAATTGAAGATGTTGCCTCTTAAACGCTTACTCAAACCTCAACTTAGAAAGCTAACACATACATTCTGATTTGACTAGGAAGCTTAGTGTTCGATGATTCCACAGACTTGTGTTGATGGCTAATTCGTCTGTCGAACGGTGGCATAATGTCTGACTCAGAAAATAGCAAGGATGTCCTCGAAGCCTGAGCATTTGTACGGAGTGAACCAGGGAATGGGGATAAACTACGAATCAAAGCAGCTAAGCATTTAGGTGGACACGACCTGTCCGATAATCAAATTTTTCTCAACCTTATTTTCGATGGATCAAAAGAGCCACAGGGCGCATGCACCAAAGCGACTGAAAGTTGGCACTTAGGTAATCACATGCAACTAAAACTGGATATTGCACTACGAATGGACTGACGATACAGTGAGTTTCTGGTTTTAAACCAGGGTCCAACAAGAATAATCTTGGACAGTTGAAAACCAGGTTTTTATGGGTTCAGTTCCAGCGAATACTTAGGTTGTGCAATATGTTAGTGAAGAGACACGAAGAAAGTAGAAAAGCTGAAATATTACCAGGATGTCTAAACAGGAACGACCAAAAAGACAGGAAAGAGACTTCTATGCAAGAAGCTTGTGAACTGACCGTTGAGCCATCTAGAACCAACACACGAGTAAGGGGGAATAAGTTCCACAGCTGTATCCGACAGTCTACAGTAAATTCTTTCAGCACTTGTGGATAAAGACCTAGGTTTTGATGAAACCTCGATAATGATCCGGTTCAAGTGCCAAGGATATTGTCATCAGTGAATCGTACCGTCTATTGAAACTATGATGGGGGCACGGAACAGGAGCCTCTAGAAATAAGAAAAATACTAGATGAAGCCTTCCAAACCCCTCTAGAAAGCGAATGCAAGACATAAGGATTCCGTCGGACAATTTCAAGTATGGTCGTGTTTCAGATGGACACCACTATGGCAGAGGAACTCGTACAACTCACTTACCTCCCCAGACAATATTCAGCAGTCTACCGCAAGGAAACCCTTGTTCGAGGAGATGACTTAAAAGACACGGAAGATTCCTAGTTGGAATGTGGCTGAGAAGCTTGATAAGCCGAAAGCACTTTCTGGTTCACTGAGCGGGACCAATCGAATGATAATGCTTATTACCCTTGAACTAGGTGCTCCAGTCAAGTGTTGCGCAAATTAACTGATACCGTTGGTTTGAGCTCGCGAGAGTAGTGGGTGTCTATGGACCGCAAATGGTCTCAAGGACATTTCAGCTCCTAGAACGTGCATGGCAGAGCAGAAAATAATCACACACGTAAAGTGCGGACCAAAACTAGTGCAACTGGAAACTTTAATGATTTTTGTGGGATTTCGTCCTGTAAGTGAAGCCAATCTATGCTGAAAAGCCGACAAGCACTGTACAGCCGTTTCATCCTTATTGGGAATCATCAGCAGTGCGCATCTCACGAAACTCCGAAAAGTCTCGAACCCGCGACCTCCCGGCTAGTAGTTTGAACACTTAACCGTTCGGCCACGAGTGGCTGATCAGCAGTGTGATTAACTTTAATGATTTGTGCTCCACTTCGGAATCGATCAAGTCCGAAATACTAACAATTATTTTGTTCCATGTTTTTTTCACCCATCACAACGCACACCGCTATAAATTGGGTAGTTAGGGATATTTTCACCGACTGGTTGAGGTGCGCTATGTCAAAGGTGATTAAGTTACTGCTGGACAACTGGAAAACTCAGCCAAACTTTCAGTCCAGCAAATTCCGGCCGGGCTTTTTGCCACCGGATATATTATCCGGACAGAGCAACTGAAGCGTAGGAGACTTCTCGTGCACTATGTAACTGGCGTGGCCGGCTCTGTAAATATAATAAACCAAAAGTAGTAAAGTGACTGAAAACTACTTCTAATGCAGGGATGAGTGCTGATTTAACTTACTCGATAAAATAGACGAAGGTAGTTCATAGCTTAAGCATCGTGCTATGAGCCGAATAAAGTTAATTCACTTTTTCGGACATTCGGGCTAGTGATAGCCTCTCTGATGTAAGTGGCAACAGTTGTGCCACATTTGTTGTGCTGTTTCCGATCGACCGTACGCTTGCGAGATATAAAGTATCAGTGACTGCTTATTTGATCGTAATTGCGACAAAA